CATCTGAAGACTTGTTAGCACCACGGGCCCAGAGAGCCAACCGCATGCCATTCATGCTGGGGCACAGGACTGATACCAGGTCTGATAATGCTCAGACTCGCAGGCGCCCAGCCATTGCCAAAGGTCGGGCATGCGTAGTGAGAGCTGGACTGCTTTGCTGAACTGGATAGGTTCTCAGCCTCCTTCCTTGGCAAGTCCTACCCACAGTGGGCCAGTGGCACTGGATTTGAACCTGCAGCCTCCACAAAATCTTAACAGCACAAAATCTCACAGCAGTGGAAACCTGAACTAACTGAAGCACTTGGGCCATCACTTAGGCTTCTGACAAAAATAAACAAGGCTAGAATATACAGTAACTTAAAATGAAATGAGAAAATCCTGTTGATGGTTGTTTATGGGTTTCAGCACAATTTATTGTTTCAAGGCCAACAACTTATTTTTAATACAGTAAACTCCCTCATATCCGATAATCATGCATCTTGAAATCCTCAGGGGACTGAAAAAAATATATAATAAACAAAAGCCAACATTAAAATAAAAAAATAGTATCAGCAATAGTGTAAGTTAGAATCTCACATGCATTTTGCTTAGTTCCCTCAATCTCCACTTAGCCTTCTCCTTCTCCAGCGGCATCTCTGCCTTTACACTCAGACCTTACTGACAACCTGACAAGGTATAAATGTGCAAAAACTCAGTGTTAATGACTGTTATGTTAAGAATTGTTTTGTAACTTTCATGTTAGGTGCCAAAATTAAAATAGCCCAGGATTACTTTATAAGGTTACTGAAGCATCATCAATGGATAAGTATCATATTTTTTGTGGGGTAAGTACCTTATTTGTTTACCACATTTACATTACATTATTATATTGTAATTAATTTAATTTCAGGGTTATGTCACTGTGATGTTGTCCTAAACATTTTGCTCCTGGTTAGGTGTCACTGTGTATCCGTTTGCTTTTTTTCTCATCTATCTTGAAAAATCTTCATATCAGGAACCCCTTCCTCCACATTTCTTCTGGACATGAGGGAGGTTATTGTACATTGATTTTGACAGTGAAAAACAAAGAATGTGGATGACAATTAAACAATTCTGATAAATTCTGTACTACAGTACATTATGGTTTCCTGTGCATATTCCCACATTGTTCCACACCACACAAAAATCTAAAATATTAATTGATATTTGCACAAAATCCAACCAAAATGTCATATTTCACTATTTATTTATTATTTCTGGCTTCAATCACACATCACTTTGAAGCCTTAGGTCAGTTCTCTCTTTCCCTGGCTGATGAATGTAACCCTACTGACCCTGGAGTTTCCTGTTTCCTGAAGATGTCACAGAGGCACATGATTTGGTGAAGTACATCGACATTTAGACTGCACCACTACTCAGTCTAGTAGAGCTGTACTCTAAAATGACTAATAATCTGTTACTGAAAGAAATTAAGCAAGTAAAAAATTATGTACTATGGAATAAAGGATGACCACAGTAGATTACAGTAAGAGGAACTGTTGCAAATCTTTCCTAAAAAAAAAGGAAACAGTCTCCATTATGACTCATCATGTGTCCATAATGCCTGACCACATGACCTTGATTACTGTATAATTGGAAAAATTAATACAACATCTAATGACATCAGACACAAAACGTCAAATCTGCAATAATTTTTACAATACAGGACAAAGGTTGGAGCTTTTCCTGCTGCCTTCTGATGATGCATCCTGCCCTGAGGGGAACAACTACTCACAACTATCAGGTATGCTTCCTGACAAGTGCTGACAGTGAAGTAGTTATTAAGATTGTCTCATATGACGATTCTGTGAAGTTTACCAATTCTGATATGAAGGTTGATATATGCATGTGAGGAGAGCACTGCTCTTCCTTGCAACTTGGATCTGAACAGGAATGTCATACACAGACAAGTGTGAAACATATTCCCCAGGAATACCCCACCCCCCCCCAAAAAAAATACCCATACTCAGCAATGACCTGAAGGGTCAGAACAACAAATGGACATAAAAGAGGCAGTGAATTTTGGACTGAGCCATTTTCTTACACCTAAAATTATAGGTAAGGGGAACATCTCATCATTATATTAACACGGAGTCCACCAAAAAATCAGATGAATTCAATTGAATGCAGGCTGTATCTGTCTATCTGGAATACTAAAGAGCCTTAATTACAGTTGCCTTGAATTAAACAGTAATTGACTGTTTAGGAGAGGTTCAGAAATCAACAATCAGCTCTGATCAAACCAGATAAAATGGGTCGTGAAGACAGATCCCAGATGATGGAGGCAGTTCAGGACATGACACATTGTAAATCTCCTGGCACTGATGCCATCCCTACTGCCATTGAGAAAGAGAGACTATCAGGTTCTGTAACAGGACCGACCCAGAGGCTGTGAAATGCATGAACTGTGCACTATGATTTTGCAATGTTTGTATTGTTAGTTTAACTGGAGTCTCTGTGAGTTATTACTGGTGTTTGGGATGACATGAAAAGATGTGTTGGATGGATGCTGTCTGTATTTTACTTATAATAATAATCATAATAATAATAATTGCTTACACTTATAAAGCGCTTTTCTGGACACTCCACTCAAAGTGCTTTACAGGTAATGGGGACTCCCCTCCACCACCACCAATGTGCAGCATTCACCTGGATGATGCGACAGCAGCCATAGTGCACCAGAACTCTCACCACATCAGAGCAGAGAAATGTAGCCTAATCATAGAGGGGGATTATTAGGAGGCCATGATTGGTATGGGCCAATGGTAAATTTGGCCAGGATGCTGGGGTTACACCCCTACTATTTTCAAGAAACACCCTGGGATTTTTAATGACCACAGAGAATCAGGACCTCAGTTTTACACCTCATCTGAAGGACAGCGCCTGTTTACAATATAGTGTCCCCGTCGCTATACTGGGGCATTAGGACCCACATAGAACACAGGGTGAGCACCCCCTGTTGGCCCCACTAACACCTCTTCCAACAGCAACCTTAATTTTATCCAGGAGGTCTCCATCCAAGTTCTGACCAGGCTCACACCTGCTTAGCTTCAGTGGGTTGCCAGTTGTGAGTTGCAGGGTGATATGGCTGCTGGCTGTATTTTAGGTCTTTAAATTTTAATTGAGCTCACCAAACCAAATTCCATGCAACTCGTTGGTATGACAATAAAGTACTGAACTTGAACTTGAGATGTTGCCACTGCCCTCTTTTTGGAAAACACAAAACAGTTCTGTATTTGATGTGCTCTGACACCACCTGGAGCATAGGACACCATCTCAGTGGCTGAAGATCTACATGATTAAATTAGGAGACCACAAGCAAACAGATGCTATTATGGAGCCACTTGTGTCTGATAACTGAGCTGTCCTTTCACTAAACATAGATAAAGAACTCGACCCCACATTATGTAAGACCATCAATGGTCTAGATCATATGGGTTTGGGTTCAGGTTTTCATTGATATGGTTTGTATTTTATCTACCAAACCTTCAGTAATACTGTTAGGAACCAACAACAGTTCCTCCCGATTTACTACCTCAAAAGGCATTCCCTCCTTGTGCTTTGCCTAGTCTTTGGAGCCTCTACCTCAGGCTATTAGTCAATTGAGTACTTCTGCCCCTATTTCTGTCAACAGTACTCGATACTGCATGTCGCTGTTTACAGTATGTTGCTGTTTGCAGACCATGTCTCCCAATTCCTTACACATCTGTTAACTATTTTTGAAACTTGGAAGGGGGGAAAGTGATTTTGGACCATTCTGCCCTTGTTTCATTTTGTTTTGGAGCGATTTCAAATCAATTTTAAAAACAGTTCCCAAAAAATGGGATGCAAAGGATTGGATGTCAATTCATCCTGTTCCCCTTTCTTATGCTGTTTAAATCAAATACTCCAACAGTGGCGCTACAGTGGAATGGCCCTTGTTTGGCAAAAAAAAAATAACAAAAACAAATACATCTGGATGAGAAAAGGTTACAGATCAAATTGTTCACTTGTGTTGTAAACATAAAATCATGAGTTACTCAGCTGCAGCCTAACAGATTAAATTATATGTAATGTTTTCATTTATAACTATTTGCGCTGGAGAGCAGCTGCTGTAGAAATTGATATGTGATGGGCCAACTTCAGACATTAAGAGGCAGAGACTATTTGCTGAAGGTCTTTAAAGACAATTTTAAAACTATCTGAAGACAAATCCATGGGAATCTCTCCTTGTTCTTTTGCAGATCCCCATTCAAACCTCTGAAAACAAGCTATAGCCACTGTCTTGTTGTACCTTCAGAAACGGAAAGCTTGTCTACAAGGGACCTTGATGAATGGATTCCAAATCCTCAAAAGCATTTACAGCAAAAACCCATACCTGTAAAGTGCTTTGAGTGGAGTGTCCAGAAAGTGTAAGCAATTATTATTATAAAGTCAAGCATTTTCTCTGCAGCTTGTGAGTCAGAGAACTAAAATCCAAGAACCTATTTTAAGGTTACTCTATAAGGTTTCTCTATAAAAAGGTGCTTTGGAAAGAGTGACAGTTGGAGCAACAGATTACATCAAAACAGCATAGTCTGTATGTAGGCTAGCCTGGGGGAAAGGAGGCAAACTTTTTTATGCCTGAAAATAAGTCCTCTTTAAGCAACTGGTTAACTTGAATTAGTGCAGTATAACTGACAGCACAGAGACCTGTCTAGCTGCTTTGACAAGTCTAACACATGGTGTTCCAACCAGCCCATAATAAAACAGAGCTGGACTAAACAACAGGGTGCAAAGGTACTGTAGTTTTGTTTTACACTACAAAAAGTGTGTGTGCTTGAGTACATTTAATTTTGGGTGTATTATTTCTCAAACTCCAATAAGTGAAATTTTACTGCTTTCTGTTTATAATACATATTAAAACAAATACATCTTAAAATATACAATTTTTAGAGCTAGTGTTGAAAATAAATAACGAAGCTTTTTTCTGACATTATGTGTTTAAAATACAGAAGTATAGAATTTATTTCAAGCAATGAAATTAATTGTATTTTATGCAATGCCATCAAGGGGAATATTAACTTAAGACAGAGCTTTACTTTTTCATCAGATTCTGCCACCGGTACCCAAGTTTGAGATAAACATTACATGTTCATTGAAAAGGTGGTGTCGGTATCAAAAGGCTATCTAAAACATTGATTTGCAAAGTTAAAAAATGTAACCACTCACTGTGTTGTTGAACAGAGTGTAGTTTAAAAATTAATGTATAGGTTATTGAGGAGAATTAAAACAATACACTCTGGTTATCATTAACCTCACATCACTACCAGGTCCTGATCAACATTTACATACTACGTAATTAGAAGGCAATATGCGTCTATTTGTTTAGCTTTATCACTTGTACCAGTGCACGCTACAGGCCGATTTCCACCTTCAAGGTAGAATGATTGCAAGGGACAACAAAAACGTAAGTGGTGCCGGGGAAACTACCCATTTTACGTAGTTCAAACACCCACGGACATATGATTTCCCTGTTCAAACAAAACAACAATTAGTGGATTAAGGGACCAAAAGGTCAGCTCATTGGAAAATACACACATACATTATACAAATTCCCCCAGCGTCTCTTTTCCTTGAGAAAAACGGTTGCCATGGGAACTGCAGAAACCCTTGGACCAGCCTGCTGCTCCTTGTAAACAAAGCACGTGCGTCCGGCTCTGATTTGCTGCGAATCTTTGCAGGTACAGTAAGATCGCCAGAGCCCCAACACCACCTGCCCGTTTTTCTGGGTTTAGGATTACCAAGAAACATTGCTTTTGAAAAATGTAAACGAAGATTTTAAAAACTTTATGAGTCGACTTTAAGAATGGGGTGTACGTGTTACTCAATTTGTTTATGATTGTAATTTTATAAAAGTAAACAAATGGTCTTAAAATACTGTCATCATATAGACAAAAACCTAATAAAGAAAGATATATTGTTAAACTTTAAGAAATTCTCACACTTAATTCTTATTTTCCAGTGCCACCAAATACATGTTGTGTAAGAGTTAACAACTTTGGTCGTACTCCTATAATAAACATTGAGAAAAGGTAAGTAGTAGTTTCTTTATGCAACGCTATAGTTTCAATTTGCAATGTTTTTAAGCCTGTTGGACCCTTTTATTAAAAGCTGTTACTCTGAGATAACGACTGTTGTGAAATTACGCGATTTCTGAGCGTTCCTACAGATATCCTCTCAAAACCTGTTCGCACCTTACTTTCCGTCTTGTAGTTTCAATTTTGAAATTAGCCAGATCTATCGCTTTGTCAAGTCTGAACAACGCTTTCCTGGCATCAAGATTCACTGTAATAATTTAATAGTTTTATTATTGCTACAGAGCAAGGCGCTCACGTCAGACGCGCTCCAAGGTAAACACAGTGCCTTAACAAACTCAAAGCTGTAACACTTTGACAAAAGTATGTATATATACAGTAAATATACTGTATCTGTACACATTGTGTACATTGTGTTCACATTGTGAACACTTTTCGTTTTTAATTGTATAGATCACTGTTTTTCGTTGAAGAACAGTAAAGACGATCACGAAACCGTAGCCATTGAGAAAAGTGTATAGTCCAACCTGGTTGACCTCAAGGTGTTTTGACAGCTGTGTTTAGCTGTGTTACGAGTGGCAGAATAATTCGGAACGTTTATTACCTACGAAAAGACACAGCACGTCCAAGCACACCAGCATTTTCCTCCTCTTCTGCTGTGCATGGCTTGAGCAGTCAGTGTGACTCCTGCCCGATCCATTTTCCCTCGGACTCCCGGACTCCCCAAGATCTCCCAGCCGGGCGTGAAGTTCTGCGTCCCGCGGCAGGACTCCAGATGCAGTCGGACCGTATTTGTAATTCTGCATCTCTTTCAGAACTGTTCTGTTTACCTTCGACTTTTTTTTCTATCGGATCAGTTAGTGGCGTTTTCTCCTGAACTTAAAATATACATATATGTCATAAAACACTTTCCCCACGAGTTAGCAAACCAAAAAGAAATGTAAGTGTTGTAGTTCACAGATGTTTAAAAGAAGTCCAGAGCAGTTTCATTGATCTTTTTCAGATATTAATCTTCGTATACGAAATAAAAAAAAATCGTATACAAATCCCGGAGAGTCAATTATGTCACAAGCAAAAAATAATCCCTGTTACTTCACTTATGCCGCACTTTGAGAAAGTGTTTTGAAATATCCAATTGCTGCCCCCTGCGAAAACATGTTAGCATTAGTTTCTGCTAATTTTGCGAAACTCTGAAGGATCTAAATTAGCCGTGTCTGTCGGTTTAAAAGTTCGCCAGAACTTTTGTGCTCACTCTCCTTGGTGTTCCTGCGTGTTCTCCAATCTACAGACATTTATCATTCTCTCGACAGCGGCTTTTTTAAACCTTGTTATCTCCGCTCTTCTCCGCAGCTCCTTAGCTCAGACCCCAGATGAGACTTGTTGAATCGCGCCCCAAACTTCCTCTGCAAGAAAACGTCTGCGCTATTGAGTTCAGAAAACTTTCTCCTTGTTAATAATCTACAGCTGATAGCGAGCCTGACCATATGAAAAGAGTGGGGAACGTCACAGCGTAGTGTCTGAGGAGCCTAGTCCTAATATTAACCCCCACCCCACCTCCCGTGCCCCTCTTTACCTCTAATGGTTTAAAATGAGGGGGGTGGGGGCAGTCTAGTATTTCAGTGAATCTTTCTGCAACATTCTTCTAATGCGCAGTACCATCTGTTCCGAGTCAAACCAGCAAACGACGTTGATTTTTGATTCAATATCTTAATAACACCAGTGTTTACCCGACACAGTTGTACAGTAACTCTCGGCGTGTATCCTGGGTTGAGTATGTAATCTCATCGGTTCCCGTCTCTCTCCCTTCCTTCCTGTCCTTCTCCACCACTTTTTTTGCTGTATTCGCTTCGCTCCCGCGACGAATTTACACCTCTTTGCCATTAGCAGAGGATTCCAATTTGAATTAAGACCATGTGTGAAAAGCAGCGATTTATGGCTTTTGTCTGCAGCAATACAATCTTCTTTACAAAACCTAACTTCAGTTTAACGTCTGTCCCTGTACCTCTGCCTCGCCCGAGTTGCTCAGTAGGTGTCCGGGACTTCGTGTAGGTACAGTGACATGCCACGACAATTATTAATAAAATCCACTAACGCTGAAAGGGTGCTCTACGTGAACGCGCTTTTCAATGAAGAGCTCCAGTTTCTTTCAGGCAAATGACCGAAGAGCAATAGTAAAAATAGATTACAATACAGAATAGTTTTAAAGTTTTTAAACTTCCAGTGGAAGCATGCTATGACACGAAACGATGTTCTGAAGCCAGCAAACATAACCATTGCGTTTAAAAGAAGAAAGGCGCTATGTGATCATTTTGTGTATAAATATCTTATACATTTGTTTGTAAAAAAAATCGAGTTTTGCAAAGACAGAGATTAATAACTCCATGAAATATTTTACAGTTTCTTCCTGTTAATGAGCGTGTAACCCACAACAGAAAAGAGGACATCAGAGAAAATGACCCATATTGTATAAAAAGTAGCCTCAGGGTATCAGAGCAGTATTTTAACAAGGTCGTCAAAAAAAGGAATTTAAACCTCTTAGCCTCTGAAACATGCATCAGGCACTGGTGAGAATCAATGAGCAGCCAGATGCATTAAGGCGGGATATTGGACTGCGACATCCACACATTAACACCATAAAATGAAAGTAACATTAAAATGTATTTGCACTCCAGCGTTGAATAGAAAACGTAAAACACCATATGCCGATAAATCTAGGATACACCAGTTATAGCCAAGCACAGCTTTTCTGTCTTCAATGAAGCACAAACCCGTGCATAAAACAGAACGCAGAGAAACATGACAGTAATGTGACCTAATTTTGTAACCAACAATTATTGGCTGAGGGTTTGTTTCAATGTGTATTATTACAGTTGCCCTTAACAAGCCTGTTTGTAAGAGGAACGCACTGTGGTCTAACGTGAATCAGATGTGCTTTGAAAGTCAGAATTTCGTCTCATCCTATCCTAGGTATTGGGACGGCCTAGCAGCAACCTCAATTTCCAGTCACATCACTGACGATCAATACTAAGAGGACAATGCCTGTTTTGCTACTGCAAAAAAAAAATCAACACAGTACATGAGTCAAAAACAGACCAGAGTGTCCTCGATAACAGCGAACAGGACGGACAAAATGAAGGACAAAACAGAAAATATCAGCAGTAAATGACTGATTCTGTAACCACATGTCAGCGGGTTCACATACTGGAAAGCAGGCACCTAGAACATTTTGGCAACTTTACGACCCCCTTCTGTGTGAATTAGGGGAAATCCGGATGTGAAAGGTTATTTGGACAAGCACTATCACCCAAAAAAGATTGGGAGCCTAGTTTTAAGTTGACACGGTGAATTATTTTTTTTATATTTCTCTCTTGTATAAGTCACTTGTGCCCTTAATTGGTTAACTACGTTAACTACAAAGTGGGTTTTTAAACCAATTTTGCTTCTCAATTTACACATGAAAACCGGGTTTGGTCTTAAAATAAGAAGGCGGTATTTGAAGCACATGTTTTGCTTGTCTTGGGCTGGACTGCTGTAACACATCGATTTCCCTACGGGATTAATAAAGTATTATCTATTTAAATACTGTAATATAGGGAACAAGGAAACAGGGCCCCCTGGCGCCCATTTACCGCATCTTACTCTATGTCACCTTATTCAAAAATAGAAATTTCAATCCCAGGACCCCCTGCGAGCAGGAGTATTTTATATCTTCCACAAAAAGCTGAGGTGAGTTTGTTTTTACTTCTTTTAGTTATGTGATTAATTAAACAAATGTAACATTTATGGCCAGTTCTCAGAATGATTTATGGTCAGTTGTCTTGAATAAAGCACATCTTTGAAATCATGAACTGCAGGGGACTTGGAAAATCTGTTGACTACACATAAAGGGGCAAGCCATACTTGTTTAAGCACACTTTTGTCAGGGGTTACAGGTTTTATGGTCCGCTGTTAAATTATCCATTTCAGAATACTCAGAATTTTGTTAAATTATTCATTTCAGAATACTCCGAATTACCTGGCTGTGATCCTTGGATGAGATGTGTTCAATTAAGCAGATTATTGATCAGATAATAAGAGTAAATGGACTACAACTGGACATTCTTGACAAAAAAGAATGCATAAAAGAAACAATCAACTCATTAAATGAATAAAACCCACATGATCCCATCTTTAGACATGGATGTGTGTTATAACACCTCTGGGACTGTGGTTCTCCAGAATCAGATGTTTTACCCCTGGTCTATGTAACCTGTATTCCACACAGAGGTCAGTGGTTGGACACTAGCTGAACATTACAGCTGTATCACCCTACAACTTAAAACTGGCAACCCACTTAAACTAAGCAGGTGTGAGCCTGGCCAGGCGGTGTGGTGGCTCTATGGCTGAGGATATGTGCCTGTGGCTGGAAGGTTGCCGGTTTGTATCCCGCAGCTGGAAGAGGAATCCTACTGTGTTGGGGCCCTGAGCAAAGCTCTTAACCTAGGGTGACCAGATGTCCTTTTTTTCCCAGACATGTCCTCTTTTTGAGACCTAAAATATCAGTCTGACCGGGATTTATAAAATTTCAAAAATTGTCCCGGATTTTGTTTTGCTTATTAGGTACTCAGACTGTGTTAACTGTGTTAACAAACATAGGCCTACATATTTTCTTCGTTCCATGCATTACCGGTAGATGTTTTTAACTTACACGCAGCGTAGCTTGGTACTGTGCGTACTGCGTAGCAGACGTTGCTAGGAAACACGGAGGGGTTTGTCGAAAGTAAAGCATGCATTGCAGTTTGACCCAGTTGACAGCTAGGAGGCCGGGGCAGAGCCGCGTTATGATTGAACACCAGATCATAAGTTATGATGTCTTCATTTTTTCCTCAGATGTTAAGACTTTTGTTGTGTTAAAATGAAGAAAAAAAACTTCAAGTTTAAAATAGAGCTAGATTTTTGTTTTTTCCTTGTTTGCCATAATGGAAGAGAAATAGCAACCCTGCAAGTGTTTAAAAGTTTAATAAGAAGTTTAATAAAAATTAGAGAGTTTAAATAGATTTTTTTATTAGAAAAGTAATAAAGATTAATTACTTTGGAGGCATGTGTCAAGTGCTGGAAGTGATGTTAGAGCAGCCAGTAGGAGGCACTCACACTGCGGCCTGTGTGGGTCCTAACACCCCTATATAGTAAATGGAAACACTATCCTGTAAAACACCGCACCGTCCTTTGGACAAGATGTGTGGATCTCTGGATACAAGGTCCTCACTCTCTGTGGTAAAGAGTTGGGGTGTTACCCTGGTGTCCTGGTCAAATTTCCCTCTGGCAATCATGGCCTCCTAATAATCCCAATCTCTGAACTGGGTTCATCACTCTGCTCTCCTCCCCATTGATAACTGGTGTGTGGTGAGTGTACTGGTGCACTATGGCTGCTGTCGCATCATCCAGGTGGATGCTGCACATTGGTGGTGGAGGGGAGTCCCCATTACCTGTAAAGTGCTTTGAGTGGAGTGTCCAGAAAAGTGTTATACAGTGGGTTCACGTTTTACGTAAGTTCGAAATGCACATTTTTAAAATAACGCCATATACTCTTAAGTATATTTTTGTTTAAATACCGCAGCGCGAGTCAAAATAATGCGTGCCATATAGTTACGCCTTTGGCTGCCCGATGCTCATGGGGCGAGTGTCGCGTTGGCGCGTTAGGAATGCTGGTACACAGTGATGCTGTTGTTGAGAATTTTTTTCTTTCTCACATTTTCTCTCACTCTCCCAAATTCCCTTTACAGTAAACATAACTGATGTTTACTAATATATTATTTTTAACTGTGTTTTTATTTTATGCATGTTACAAGTTGATGTATTGAAGGTATTTAGTGTATGGCACGCTCATCATTCACGTCTATAGGGTGTAGGTAGGGTCAAACCTACGCGCGCAGAACGCAACTATAGCAGTTACCATTATTTGAAATAGGAACAATTCTTTAAAAAATGAGTGGAATTTACAATACGCGTGGGTTTCCGGAA